TCCTTCAGAGCCCAACCCTATGAACTATCAGCCTAGCAGGAATGGTATAGAGAATTGGGAAGAATTAGTGGTGAGGGCATGACCCCAACTTTCTCCAACTACAGATAACCCAGGCCCTTCATCTAACCACTGGACCTCAGGTGTTTCCAAAAAATGAGAAAATAAATTGCACCTTAGACCTCGGGACTTGGATTGTGAATGCAAAGTGCCTGGCAGGTGGGCTCTGTGAAGGCCCTGTGGTGATGGCGTGCCTGGATAAGCTCGTCATTCTGAAGTGTAGGCTCTTGACGGATCCTCAAGTAACTAATTCCAAAACATCTTGAAGTTTGCTCATTTTCATCCCTAAAATGATTGCCTGTGCCTGGCTGTATCTCTCAGATTTTCTGTCAGCTGCTTTTGTGATCTGGGTGTGCCTCCAGGCTGAATGGCCGCTTATCTCCCTGGGAGTGTGGAATAAGCCCTTAGCAGCCCCTGGTGTTAAAGGACTTGACTTATCTGGTGGTGGCAGAGCGCCCTGGCGGCATTTGCATCCCTGTCGCTGCTCTGTGTGCTGTTGCTTAGTGCAGCTGTCAAACACCTCGAGTGTGCTAAGAGCTCACTGATGGGCTGTCTACTCCAGCCCCAGGATGTCCTGGGCAGTGGCATTTTCATTTTTAGCATTTTTTTTTTAACTTAAGAAGCATATTTGAAAAAAAGAGTATTTGCTCTAAGAATGCCTGTTAAACTACAGGCAATGCGCTCTTGTCCCACTCCTGCCTGAGCTTGTGCTCCTGAAAGGATGCCAAGCACAATCAGTCTGATTTAAAGTGCATCCCGCACACCATTCCAAGGGACATCTGCATGATCAGGTGTTTGGAATTCAGGCACACATGTTTTTTTTCTAGACATGACCTTTCTTTTCTCCTTTTTCTTTTGAGAAAGCTGGCTAGGAAAGTCATTCCTGTCTTTGCCATCCTCTAGGGTTGGATAGGTGCCAGATGGGAGGACAAGAGAGACATTCTCATGGGACTTCTCCCTGATTTCTACAGTTCCTCTTTTATAGAAGCTATGGATCTGAATTTTCTATTTTGTGTAGAGAACGGCGTAGGCAACTGATATTTCCAATAGGTGACCCCTTATTGTTTATCAAACGTTTGTTGTTTCCTCATTGAGCTATGGTCTCAGCTAATTTTTAACCAATTTTTCTTACTTGTAAATCTTCTCCCAGGCCTTTCTTTCTGTCTTTTGGTCCATACCTACAATGTGGTGTTGTTATGGACGTCACTGAGTTTTAATAGATCTTAATATTTGGCATGAATCTCCCACCTAATGTCCCACATCTACACAGCTGTTTCTCATCTTGTTCTTCAAACTCTCCTCTCTCAGGAGTCTTGGGGTTGGGGATGGGAGCAGAGATGTTCACCCAGAGTCCCCCAAGTCATCTAACACTTGCTGGCAAAGACATTGATCAATAAAACCTTTGTTAGGAAGAAAAAGAATGGGAAATCTAGTCATAAAAACAATTTGACATTGTTATAAAATTGGGAGTCTTACCTACTAGCCAATAACTCTATTCCTATGTTTGTTTTTGTGGACTATAAGACACTGTCCACAGTGACAACTACTAGCCATTCTGATTGAATAGTATTGAATAAAAAAATAGTTAATTGTGTAGCTATTGAAATGCCGACAGACTACCTGTGGTTCAAAAATCCAGTGCCCAGGCATCTCAGGGACTGTGGTGATGGATAGAAAGTTCTAGCTGATGGCACTCCTAGAGTTCTTGAGCAGGGGAAGAGACAATCATTCGTGACAGAACTGGGTAGAACATGGAAAAGAGACGTCTGTTAACAGTGAGCAAGTAAAACCTTATATTTATAAAACTGACAACAATTTAATAGTGAAAAGTCAATGAATAGTTGCTGTATCTGGACATCTAACAATCTCTGTGTCTGTGCTTGCATGGGTGCGTGTATGCGTGTGTGTGTGTGTGTGTGTGACAAGATCTGCTGGATACATAAGAGAAATACATAAAAAACAAAATATTTCAGCTTCTATATGCTAAAACAGAAAAACCCACCATATAGCTTGGTAGATGTTTTTATTATTACATGATATTTGAGATGTATCACAATGTCTTAATCACAGCTGAGTAAATACCAGAGTAATGTCTTGATCTTAAGGTGTGATTCAAGAAAGAATGGTTCCAAGAACCTAGCACCGTCTTCAGGGGCTCCTAACTCCACTGGCCTCATGTCAGTCAGGGGATGTTTACTGGTTGTGTTGTTTACAGTGTGACCACGATTCACAGGAATGGCAGAAATTATAAGGATGTCGTCCAGTGTATCTAATCTTGGACTAAACTAGTCATCTAAGACAATAAAGAAGTTCAACACTAGATCCTTTAGGCTTGTAGAGTTGCGAAACTAAACACAGATTTTGCACCTGCTTAAAAGCAGAAAGTTTGTTTCCCTAGAATACTATAAATTTTATATAGTTGGCTTAGCAGGGGACGTGATATTCAGCTCATGATGAATGGAGAAGGAGTGGGACCCAAAATAATAAGATCAGTTCGTAATAAGTCTATTATGACTTATTACTATTATTGACTGTGTTGAGAAAAAAAAATCAAGACGGCAGAAGGTCTGTGGAGACATTCGGCTCCTTTGGAGTCAGGTGAGAGTCACTGGGAAGAGATTTCTAGAGAAATTTACCTGATAAAGAGATGCTACAGCAAAATGAAAATGCATCACAGGTGCAGAAGGCAGAGGCGATTGCTGCATGCATGGAATTTCTGCATGCATGAAGTCCTGCCTCTTCCTCATCCATGCATCACGGGTAGGGTACGTAAGGACCTTCACTGAGCCTGTAATTCAAGATGGGGTAGGTAGTGGGGTGGAACTGCGCTCATTCTCTTAGTATATTGATTAGCCAGCTAAAGATATGAAAACATTGTTGGAGAAATCATCTAAGTCTTTAGCTTATCAACGTCTCTGTCACCAAATAAATGGGAGCCAGTGGAACCATCTCAGTCACCAAATAAAGGGGAGCCAGTGGAGTCTCTACTGCATCCTTTTCTGCCCGGAATGGGATGAGCTCAGAATCGTGGGGTTTGTGTGTCTGTTCTCTGACCTTTGAAATCAGTGCACCCCAGGAACTGGAGTGCAGCCACGTGTTCCAAGGTCCTGTGGCAGTTGCACGTACGTGCCTGTCATTCAGAATTGTGGAGTGTGCGTTGACATGTGTGTGTGTATGCAGATAGGCAGGTGCTTGTCCTGATCAGCACATGATACAGGAGCCTTGGTGCAGTGCTTTCTAGAACCTTGTGTTAAAAAATGCATCAGCGGTATAGCGGGCTGCGGATCTGGGACTCACCTGTTTGTGCACCTCCTCAGATTCGATTTCCACTCTGCGATCACCATATGCTACGTGAGCAGAAACAGCATCAAAACGTTGGATGCCCATCAACTGCCAGACAAGCAGACAATCAGCAGCTACTAAAGATATGATCCTTCCTAACACAGCTTTTAAAATTACTGTAAAAAATCTAGGAAAGAGGAGAATGAATCCAAGGGTGACTGGAAACTTGGGAGGTGGTCAGAATGGTAAATGGGGAGTCTTTAGCTAGCCTATTAGGGAGAGTGTAGAAAAGCTTAACCAAGAAACTAAGTGGGTATTCTAGTGCTCCAATGGTTTAGGCTCTGTCCTCAGAACACACCGATGGCTGCCTGAAGAGCTGCACAGGGAACGCACTGAGCAAGCAGAAGAGATTCCATTATAATTGTCCCTGCAGGAAATAACCCCTTAGAGCTGTCTACAGATCCACTGTGACAGCACCGTGCCTCCCGCTGCCACCAATTAGCATGGCCTCAATGGTCAGCCTGGTTTGTTACTCCTAAACTGGACACACACTCAATTATGCCAGCCCCACACCCCAGCCCATACCAAGATGCTCGGCATTTTTTATCTGTTCAGTAATGCTGTTTGCTAAGCCGGTGGAGCTTTGGACTAAGTCTTGAAGGTGAACTTGGCAGAGATTTTGGTCATGTGAATGACCGGTATCGAAAGCATAGGACCTGAATCCACATCCAGGTACGTTCCTCCTCACTGACTACCCTGTACAAGCCGGCTGGGGTCTAGTTGCTATTGCTGTCCATTCCTGCTCTAAGGGAATTCTAGTTACAAAGTCCAGAAGTTTCTGTTCCACAATAATCAGACTGCCTGGGCTTAACTTGAAGCTTCATGACTACACAGGTCAGTGGCTTCTGACCAGCCATGGGGCCTCAGGAGTCTATGCACCTGACAGGAATGAAAACAGGGTTAGTAGACAAAGTACATCAGATGGTTTCTGAAAAGGTCTTCACTACACTACACTCCAAAACTCACTATAATCACAAGTTGGCTTACCTCCAGCCTGACCGAATCTATAAAAAAATGACAGTGACATTCATCCTTTCCTGTTTCTAAAAACAAATGCTTCAAAATTTGTTTACGAGTCATTGATGTCTACTTGAAGTTAGTGGCTATTTAGTCCATCTTTGGACATGTAAGCCCCATCACTTGCATCAACACACATCCCTAATAATACGCATTCTGTTGATTCTTAACATCTGTCATACACACGTGCAAAACTGAATCCCATAAGGCCAGAATCCAGACATTCCTACCAAAGAAAGTTAAATGGAGAGAAGAGTAGCAGAGGCTTTGCAAAGACAAAATTGTCCTATCTCTCACCAGTGTCAGAATGTAGAAGTGTTTACAAAATGCTCATTAAAAGAAAAAGGGGTTGCAAGATAAAAATGAAATCTGGTGTACAAGTTTACACTGGGGTGATAAGAAAGGCTAGGCCCTATAGGGGATCTTGCTATCCAATTACTGCAACCTGACTTTTGACGGGGGGAGGAGGGGGAGGAGGGGGAGGGGAAGACACAGGAAGAGTTTCCGTACTTGTGTCCAGTGACACAAGACATTTACACTCCACAAGATAAAACTGCCAGTTACAGCTCAGGGGAGTTAAGCCTTCCTAGGTTGGCCTGGGGAGCAGAGCAGAGTCATGGGTTCTCTGGTTCTGCCGCTGAGTGCCGTCTTCTGCCTGGTGGCTCAGTCGGCTTCTGGCAGCCCCATCATGGGCCTTGAGCAGTCGCCCCTGGAAGAAGACATGCCTTTCTTTGACGATATCTTCACAGAGCAAGATGGTATTGACTTTAACACCCTGCTGCAGAGCATGAAGGATGAGTTTCTCAAGACGTTGAACCTGTCGGACATTCCTGTGCATGACACAGGCAGAGTGGATCCGCCAGAGTACATGCTGGAGCTATACAACAAATTCGCCACAGACCGAACCTCCATGCCATCTGCAAACATTATCCGGAGCTTCAAGAACGAAGGTAGGCTGGCTGGCGTTTACACCTATGAGACTTTAGCTTTGCGTTTTCTCAGGAAGAAATAAGGAAACATCCATGTGGGGGTGGTGTGGGAGAGGATGCATGGGTGGAAACACATGGCTCAGACACAGTGCATCAACAGTACCACAAGATCCCCCTAGAAATCCAAAAATACTAGAAAATATCTATTAATGAAAACCCACAAAATACCTCTCCTTCTAATACCACAACAGGTTCTTGTTGTCATTTTAATCTGGACACCATATATCAAAAACCCATAAATGTTGATAGGTTGTTCCATCTTCTCTGCCACTTTCTAGACAGGACTGGATTTCCATCTGATGTTGATAAGAATTAGTCAATTATACTTTAGATCAAAAATGATGAAAGCTATAAAAAAATTAGAAATTTGGGCTTTGTAGTTTGTTCCAAGTCTGGGTGAGTTTCCATTTCTGACTTCATTTGGTCAGGATCCTGCTAGAACACAACTGTATTTGGGAGATTCTTTTCATACTGTGTTGTGTTTGATGAGCCATGTTCTTATATGAAGCATCACTTTATAATGAGACGCCAGGAAGTATTCAGGTCCAGCTGACTGTGACTGTGTCTTCATCAAGAGCAATATACATATTTCAAATTATTCATTCCCCTCAGATCTTTAAGTGAGCCAGTGAGCTAATCCTAGGTTTATGTGTCATAAAAAGAAAATTATAGCACTGATGGTAGACACTGTGGAAAAATATAAAGAAAATGGTTCTTTATTATTTATTAATTGTGCTCTTATAGTCACTGGATGAGCAAAAATGAGATTTGAGCAACATTTGCCAGACGTTCTTGGAAGCAGAAGGCAGTGGTACAAACCAGCTCAGGACTGCTGAGAGCTTGCTGCCTTGGAAGGTTGTGCATAACTTGTCTAAATGATTGGGGCCCCCACTTCCTCCTGTAAAGCAGAAACTGCTTGGCACAGATGAAGGAATCACAGGTAGCTATAGGTAAGAGACGGCTCATGGTTAGGAAATGCTGGACAAACTGTGATGACTGTCAATGAATTGCTTAATAGTCTAGGCACTGGAGTGAACGTTGAGTGGATGTTCCTCAGACACCAAGATAGTATTTGTTGTTAAGATGCAACCTATGACTGCCATTTCTCTTTAGTAATGTATTTCTGGTGGAAATAGCAAGCTGAAATTTCAGATTCCTTTGGAGGCAAATCTGGGAGAAAAAGAACAACCTCCTAAGGAGCCGGCCTCAGATTCCTGCTCTGAGCCATGGTCTGGCTCGGGTATGGGGGAAATGCAGCCTAGCTTACAGGGGAAATGTGGTCTAACTCAGGCATGGTGGGAATGCAATATTCCACTTTTGTTTCTTGCTTCTGCCACGGAAGAGCAAGTGATAAGGCGAGGGTGTGATCCAGCTTACCATTACTGGAGATCCATGGGGAAGGATCAGACTTGGGGATACCCAGCCACTCACCCCTTGCACGTCTGACAGCCTAGAGGAAGACTCACGCAGCAGAGGACCTGTGTCCCCTCAGCAGGCTCTCCCTGTTGGCTGTTGTCACCCACATACTCACTTTTTGTGTTTGCTCAGTGCCATGCCCTAGAAGGTGAAGTCCCAGAGGACTCTAGACCTAGTTCATCTTGGACTTCAGTTCTTATCCTGACTCCTTCCTCCATATTGTCTAGGAAGTCAGATATGTCCGTGGTGGTTTGATTTCTTCTGATGCAAAACTAGCATAGGATCCATGTGTGCATTGTGGTGTCACTGTAACAGCCACACAATTTGGCACGTGAAAGCTGTCAAGGACATTATTTTTCTTGCCTTGAAATGTGACTCCTCCATGATCTATCGTCACATAGGCAAAGAATTGTGGGTGGTTTTATTTAGTTAGTTAAGGGTTGGTTTGTATGTGTGTGTTGTGCTGCATTGTCTTGTTTTAAGCTGACCTTGAACTCACCATGTAGCCCAGGCTGGTTGGGCTCGAACTCACAATCCTCCTGTTCAAGCCTCCTGAATGTGTGCTTATTTTTAAAAAAGTATATCTCCACTGGAGTATAGTTGATATATAGAAATATGCATATATTTAACATACGTAATTTAAGTGCTTTTGTGTATAAACATCCACTGAAGCCCCGCCTCAGCCAAGACAGTGAGCATGCCCATTTGTCCCAAGGCTTCCTCCTTTCCAGAGGGGAACTGCCTCTCTCACGGAGAAGCAAGAGCCTGCTCTCCCATTTTTGATCTTCTACAACAGTAAGTGCATAGTGAGATAAACTTTCAGAGAGAGATTTGAAGGCACCAGTGTCTGAAGGGGGAGGCCAAAGGTGGAGAGTGGAAACAAGGTAAGATGGCTTCCTTTTCAAGAACCAGAAGAGTGTCCTCAAAGGTTCACGATACAGAGAAGGAAGGCATTTTGGTTTGTCTATGTGGGAAAATTACTAATCAAACAGGATAAAATATTCATTCAATTGGTCAGTAAATATCCATCGAGCAACTGAGGCATTCTGTTTACTGTGGAGAATGGACAGGAGCCATGGCTTGATTGGGATGTTAAGCACTGGTTACAGTCGCCCTGGCCATACCTGTGATGTTAGAGCAGTCCCGTAAGTCAGTATCCCCCAGCGCTGCTGCAAAGATGCTTTTAGTTAGCACCCAGAGGAAGCCATGAAATATGTCCAATAACTACATATTTTATTATGTAAATTTAAAAGCCCACATGACTATGAACTTAAGAGCAAAACTTTGAGCTCTTTTGGGAATAGGTATAAAGCAATCAGCTAAGGAATGCTGTGGAACACACTGTGGGTCAGAGACTCCGTTGAGGTCCCGAGTTGGGAGTACAGTTAGAGAATGGCTGCCAAGGACCATAGAGGACGCTCCATTGCAGGTTTCTAACATCTTTGGTGTCACAATCCTCAGAAACCCTGATGTCAAATGTTTCAGTCCCCATAGAGTCAAATGATCTGGGGTAAGTACATAGGAGCTTTGAGTTCTACGTAAAATTCTCAAGTAAAAAGTTAATATCAGGCTAGGCATGGTGACACATGCCTGCAATGTCTCTCAGGAAACAAAAGGCCAGCATGCTCTACTTAGTGAATTACAGTCCAGCCAGGGCCATGAAGTGAGACATTGTAAAAAAGAAAGAAAGGAAGGAAGGAAGGAAGGAAGGAAGGAAGGAAGGAAGGAAGGAAGGAAGGAAGG